CAACAACAACAGCAACAACAACAGCAACAACAACGCTTCATTGATGAGCATAACTACTCCTATTACTATTCTTGACTTGGTTGGAGTAGTCTTGTTGGGTATGGTACCTCAGGTCCCAGAGCCTAGATGCTTTGTTTGACAATAATTCAATTTTTTTAATTGTCTCATCTCCATTTCCCCTCTTCCCCCCTTCACACATCCGAAAAATATTTCTACTAGTATTACTGGTCATTGCTAGTACTGGAGAGGTAATTTCATTGCTTACTACTTGACAATTGCTATTAGTGCTTCTTACTAGTGGAAATGTTATAGTACTAGTGAGCACTGCTGCAAACTGCTGGGAATGGATGTTCTGTTGGTGCTGCTCCCCTTCCTCTTCACCAGGAGTTTGCAGCAGTGCTCACTTTAACATCCACACTGGTAAGCACTAACAGGTTTTCCAGTAATAAAAACTAATGGAAATTCTTAAGTAGTACTAAGCAATGAAATAACCTCTCCAGTAGCAAGGGTCACTAATAGAAATATTTTTTGGACCAGCAAGCAATAACATAAATAATTTGATTTTTTTAACTGTAAAAATGACCCTAACATTTTTGTGATTGTTTGTGTGGAGACATAAAAACCAGGCAGAATTTTGATTCCCAGTAGAAATATTGCCAAACAAAATGTCTGGGCTCTCTCTCAAGCCCTTCTGTCCAATCTCATTTTTACTGACATTGGGTCATTCCTGTTAATCTAGATGATTTACTTCTTGACAGACAGACAGACAGACAGACAGATCAAAAAAAACAATCTAGACCAAAATTTTTGATTAACTAGCACGTGCCAATTTACTCTTTAAATACAATCTAAATCCAGACTGAATTCATGAATAAAAATCTGTTAAACAACTCAACAAAAAAGGCCTGGTGCCAAATTTGTGGCTGAAAAAATTACTGGAAAAAGAATGGTGGTGGTCCCCCTCTCTATCAAAGTGCTGGCTGGGCCACAACAAGAAAGACTATGTCATCCCCAGTATAACCCTCTTAGTAGTAACTACATTCTTCCTCTGATCTTGGTTGTTGAAACAAAGAGATGTGCAGCTGGAGTTCTTGGCACAGACATGGCATCATGAGGCAAC